CAATAATCAAACCTACCCTGCTATTTTCATTAAGAGCAAAAGAAACTAATGCTGAATACTGCAGCTGACAGAATGCGATGTAAACAAGTATCACACAGATCTCTGTCTTGTTAGAAGAGCTTTCTGCTAAACTCTGCACATGTCCAGCCCAATCACACTCCCTACCTTCATCTGGCTTCTCTCACTCAGCACAAAATGAAATACACACAAGATGACATTTGGAAAGATGAGAGTTTCAGCTGATTAACCTGCCAGATAATAGCTGCTGCTGCTGGAAATATAGCGGGGGGAATATACCAGAGAGATTACACTGATCAGGCCTTTTGAGAATTTACCAGGGGAAATCCAGGATTTTTATAATTTGGGATTCTGAAGAAAAGTACAGGGAAATGAGAGCCAGGATTTCCACTGACTTGCTGCGTAACCTTTGGCAAGTTACATCGCCTTGTGTGCCTCCAGTTTGTCCTCTCAACTTTCCCCTGCCCTGTTAACTCAAGAGTAAATAGGCCAGCTACAATTCTGATTTCAGCAGCAGATCTTTTCACCCCTCTGGATCTATCACCAGGTGTTAGATAGAAGTTGGTGTGCCTCCCACCTCTCTTGTGTAGTGTAGTGTACAAAAGAGATAGAGAAATGATTTTTGCAAACAAACATTCCATTCTTACATGGAAACTATTGACATGCTTGATAAATCGATATGTGTCAACAAATTCTTTAATAACAACTGTGTGGTAAGCAACACCTTTGAGAAACCATTCTCTGTCTTCATCATCCTCTGTAACCATGTCATCTAAATCATCTGGATGACTGCTTGAAACTCTTTACACTACACATTCCTCCTTTTCCATGTGTGTGACTGACACTTGGCTGTTGCGAGGCTTGTTAGATACATTGCCTCCCATTTCTCCTACCTCTGAGGTTTTCACAGTGTCATCCACAGCAATTTCCTTTTCCATGTTTCTCAGTGATATGTTTTCCTCACCTAATTTTGGAGGCTCTTTAAATACTTTTAGTTGGGAGGTACTGTACAACTTTGCTAAACCTTTCCCTAACTTGTTTCCTAATTTAACTCTTTTGCCCTCTACAGCGGCAGTTTTGTATGGTCCCACATAGGTCGGTTGTAGCTGCCCTCCCTTTCTTGTTTTCCTTCTCGCATTTAGTAACATGACAGTGTCACCAATCTTGAATGTTATTTCCCCATGTTTACGAGTCTTCATTTTGGCATACTGTATTTGTTGCTTTTCTTGTGCTTTTGAAATATTACTAATAGCCAGTTTAGTTTCAGCATCACGTCTAGCTTCAATTTTCATGATGTACTCTTTGTAGTATTCTTCATCAAGTTCCTCAAAATCTGTTGGCTTTGGAAACAAATGGAGAAGGAGTTGTGTTTGTAAAAAGAACAATCACAAAATAACATATGCACTTGAAAGCTGAAGGACACTTACTGTGTAGTTGTCTGAGATTTGGTCTGGGAAGCTTGCCTCAAAGTAATTGATAGGGTGACAATTTGGTTGTCATGTTTGGTTTTGTTCTCAAAGAAAATACAATGTCACCAAGAAATTTATCACAATTAGTCGCACTGTCATCAACCAACTTGTGCAATGCTCTGTAAAAAATGGGGATGGATTATTTGTAGGGGAAGGGGAAAGGACTGTCTTTACTGAGAGAAATTGTATGCAATCGAAAAGGTGTAAAGAGGCCATCTTAGTGCAGTGGGATAATTCCTTTTACTTGAAATAGAAGACAAGTTGAGTTTCAATGTACTAAACATTTGAAGCAATTTGTAGCTTCTATCAAAGTACATTCTCCTTTCTATTAATACTATAATTTTCCCTGCCCTAAAATTACCTTTTGATGGATTTGTTTTCAGCTAGTCCATTGGTTTGTGGATGGTATGGGTTGGTGAAGCTATGTTGTAGTCTCAATTTTTTGCACCTCTCTAAGTTAGGCTGAAAGGAAAAAAAACATATGCCATAAACTTTCCTTTGGACAGGTTTGGTGTGTAACCCTAACCCTCTCCCCTGATACCTTACATGGCATGCTTTATATGTAAGATCACAATTATATGAAAATGAGGAACATGGGGTACACTCCCGCAAGGTATAGAATGTCACACATTCATTTTCTGATATAGCTGTAAAACTACTCTTAAAAGTTTTCTAAATAAATTACTGTTTAAAAATGTATATTGTGTACCTTCTAGAAATGAAACTTATATCTAACTCTGAGTTGTGAAGAATATGTATTAAGGCTATAACAACCAACAAGAATGCACTTTTATCTAGAAAAGCATGATTAAATTGAGACTTCCTGACTAATGATTTAAATTTTTATTTAAATTTAAATCAAATCCACCATGGTTTAGGGCCAGTGTCAAAGCCTTATGTACATGTTTATTACTCAAGAAATCTTAAGTGACACTTTCACTGTATGACAAGATGCTTAGTTGCCATCCTCAAAATACCCATTAGACAAACACTTGATACCAAACACATTTTTGGAGAAGAGAGACCCAAGTCCACATTCCTATATTTTCAGGACTGTTTAAAAAACATTTTGCAAGTGGAATTTCATGGCTATTGCATGAAAAACCTTAATGAAAGTCTGAACATTTAAAAAGAAATCTTTATTAGTCCCTTTCCACTGCATAGTAGGTCATACAGTCTATTAATAAAAAAAAAAAAAACATTGAACGCACACAAAACATTGAGAGTAGTGAAAAACATTATAAATAGTATATGAAATACTTAATTCCTTTGGAAAGCAAGCTCATAGGCAAAAAATCTACCATTATGCTTTATACAGACTTCCACTTCTGTCACTGTTTCATGCACATAAGGAGCAAAGAGGTATCACCACAAAAATTACACTCAGAACTGTGGTACTCACATGTCACCTCATTGTGCGCTCATTTAATTTTTGAGACATTTTCTTTAGCCTTTGTCTTCACTGTTAAAACTTAACTTGTCTTGTGTTGTTTTCATTAGTGTTATTAGCAGTGAGAAAAAGGTCTATGCCTGCATAATGGGGACACAAGATATATTACACACACCTGGATTATTCTTCAGTGGTTGATAATGTCAGATCCTTCTCGTTCTCAGTATGCTGAGCTGAGCTGAAGTGTCTGTCTTCCCATCATCCAGATTGCTGGGACACAAGCACTTCTCACTGTTCAGTCTTTGTACCTCAGGTGTTTCCGGTTGTTCTTGTAGGCTGTCATTGTTCACCTTTTCTTTCTTCCCCCCAATTTCTGGAAGGCTCTTGTGCTGTGACCTGGGTCAAACAGCACCCACTGTGTAGAGGTATCTGATCTTGATCAAGTAGTCCCCATTGTATAGCACTATCGTTCAGAGGTTCCTATTGCACACAGTTCCTGGGGTAATCTTTATGTCTTTGTGCATTCCTTCAATAAGCCACTAACATTGTCTGGCCTCATCCCACAGAGCACATTTGAAATACAGAGACATGGTCAATATTTCTAGCCTCAGATACAAATGTTACATGCATACAGGTTGGATAAACACAGTCAATAGATCTTAAGTTTTGCAATGATACCCCACATCAGCCATCTTGCATAAAGTATATATTAGCTATGTTATATCCATATCATAAGCATATTTTCATAAATAATGTAGAGTATAATGTCACACCCCACATGTATGTTTGCTGCTCTGCAAATAGTAAAGGAGCATGCACCTTTGGGTGCAAACGCTCATGACAATAGTGCAGAGCCATACAAGCTCCATGAGTCTGTGTGAGATGGCAGACAGTGAGGAGGGCCAGGCAGGTTAGTGGGTTTAGAAAAAAAAGTGTAAACATTATGTATACATTTATGTATGGGATTCATATGAAATTAGTGGATAGTTAACAATGCATTATAAGAAGTTGGATCCCATGGTCACAACCACCCCGTCTGACCTGTTTGGTACCCAGCATACTCTGCCAAAACAAAGCTTCCCAAAATACAGTGGGATATCTATTCATGGTCCTGCTAGTGAAGGCAGGGGGCTGGACTTGATGACCTTTCAGGGTCCCTTTCAGCTCTATGAGATAGGTATATTTCCGTATATTTAGGGGGTTGGACTAGATGATCTCCTGAGATCCCTTCCAACCCTGATATTCTATTATCTCTTTGCCTGAATCCATCCTCAACATTATAGGAGATAGTATACTGCCTTTACTGAATATTTCAGAATCAAGTTGTACACAACAGCATGCAGAAAAACACTAAGGACTAGACTGAGAGGCAAAATAACAGTTGCAAAAATGCAATCCCCATTGGTGGATTGACTCAAAACAAAGTTTTGACACTAGGCCAGAAATTCAGTCACCTCAAAAATGAAAAGAAAAAATTAAATTTAAAAATTCAGGGAATTCAGGGAATCCCAGCAGCAGATAAGACAACTTGGGAAACTGCTCGGAGACTCTATGTAATCAGATACAGTGATAAGGGATTCTTTGTTTCTGAGGGGATATTTGTAAAATGTTTCACTGAATTAAATCTCAGGGATTATCTACACTGGCAAGTTAAAGCGCTCTAACTTGCTGGCTCAGGGATGTGAAAAATCACACACATACACACCCCTGAGCGCAGCAAGTTTGAGCGCTTTAAAGCGCTAGTGTGGACAGGCTCGGCTCCCAGTGCTCGGAGCTAATCCCCTCGTCGAGGTGGATTACCAGGAGCAGTGGCTCCCACGACAGCACTTTGAACTTTGTAGTGTAGACATAGCCTCAGTAGGTTAGATCAGACAAAGAGGAGCTGCATTGACTAGGCATTGGGATGCCTGTGCCTTTAAGAACCCAGCCCTGGGGGGAAATAAAAAAGCCCCTTTGTCCCCCACCATTTTTGCAAACACTGGGGTCTCAGTCCCAGTGGGGTAACTGTTACCCCCTGTGCGCTGCCTGTTCTGGGTTTTGCCTTCTGTCACACTCTGCCAGCGCTTCACTCCTGGTTTTAACTCCGCCTACTCCTCGTTCCCATTTCCTCTCGGGAAGTTTCACTTTCACATTGGGAGCACTCTACAAGCGGAGCGGGCGATTGGCAGTTCGGACACAAACCGATTTCTTTAAACAAGTGTGAGGAAAAGCGACGAGAAAACGCTGCAGCTGTTTGAAAGCCAGAATGAGCCTGGCAACTTGATAAACTGAAGGAGTCATTTAAAATGTCCCTATCTCAACAAAACCAGTGAGGTCTGAGCACACCCTGAAGACTGCAAATCTTCTCGGAAGGACCAATCAGGTAGGGTAATTTGACTTCAAAATGATTCTTTCTAACCCCTAATATACCCAGTTTATTGCTGGGACAGATTAACAATGTAAATATTAAATAATTCTGTGATAGTTCGTTTTACTCTTTCTGTAAACACTGCATCACATGCACACTCAAAATGATTGATAGTCAAATGCATCACAGACTATTTTCCTAGCAATGTAATGAGATTTTTTTACATGTTGAATGATTATTTCTTTTGCTACTGTGTTTTACTTAAGAACACTGGGCCCGATCCTGTTCTCAGTGACCTCAGGGGGAGATTTGTAACAAATAACTACCTATATTTTGTATACAGGAAAAAATTTACTGTGCCAAACCAGCTGTGATCAGTCTAGTTTTCTGCCTGTTGTTGTTGTTGCCGTTTTCTAGAACAAATTGTGGGGCTGAATCCTTTTGCTTCAGATACGTTCAAAACAAAAAAGTAAAGTAATGTCCTGAGTCAATCAAAACAGAAAATTGCATCCCTTTCTCCTTCTGAAATCAGTGGGAATTAAGCAGGGCCAGATTAACTTTCTGTGGGCCTGGCGCCAAACATATTTGTGGGCTCCCATGGGGCAAGGTGCAGGGGGGGGCGGGATGGTCAGTGTCCAGAGTGTAGGGCAGGGGGGGCGGGATGGTCAGTGTCCAGAGTGTAGGGCAGGCTGGGGACATGGGCACTGTTTACAAACCTGCAGCTGCCAGCTGCATACTGACCTGCCCAGCCCTGTGCTGCCAGCATCCCCCTTCCCCTTGAGGGCAGACCTGCACCCACCGCCCCCCTGCCCAGTGTCCCACCCTTATGCCCAGTGCCCCCTTGCCCAAAGATCGCCACCACAGATCTCTATGCCCAGCCCCCACCCCTCCCAGAGACCTCCCCCGCTGGCCTCCCACCACAACTGCACAGCACACCCTGCACACCACACTTCTCGCCCAGCACCCTCCACCCATAGACCTCCCCACTGCCCACCACCTTCCTCACAGTCCCACCATCACAGCTGCACTGCACCCCATATTCCTGAGGGGATTCTTCACCAAAAATTCTGTGCACAATATTTTAAAATTCTGAACATTTTATTTGTCAATAAATAAATGTGGAGGCTCCAACATGGCAGTGGGAGGCACAGGCCACTGGTTGCATGGAGGTGAGAGATTACCCTGCAGTCTCCTCCTACCCCATCCCGGGATAGGGACTTGGCAGTGAGACTGCACCCGACCCTGAAACAGTGCAAGGGCCAGACCTGCCCCAGAAACACCCGGGGGCCCTGTCTCCCTTTGCCAGGCACACCAGGTGTGGGTTAGCAGGCTCAGCCCGGCAGCAGGATCCAAGTGCAGAGGGACTTAGTGTGGGGGGATCCAGGTGGGGGTAACAGAGGTCTCTGTGGGGCAATCTGGGTGTGGGTGGCTCAGTGGGAGATCTGGATGCACAGAAGCTCATTGGGGGGTTCCAGGTGCAGGGGCAATGGGACTCTGCAGGGGATCCAGGTGAAGGTGTTTGGGGCTTAGTGGGGCGGGGGTCTACGTGCAGGGGACATGGGGTTCATTGGGTGGGAGTCCAGATGCAGGTGGTTGGGGCTCAGTGGAGAGGGTGTTGGGGGGGCTCATTGGGACAGTACAGATGCAGGGGAGGTGGGGCTTGTCAGGGTGAGGGTTCGATGGGCCTGCTTAAGAGGGGAGCCCCAGCTTCTGCCAAGAGGATGCCGAATGCTGGGCTCCAGCTTCCCCTCTGCTCCCACTTCCTCCATCCCCTTCTCTTCCCCATCCCATGCCCCTTCTCTACCGCTCCATCTCCTCCCTAGGCTTGGAGGGCACGGGGGGGGGGGAATTGCCCCCCCAGCACGAGCCGGCGGAGTTGAGCAGAGCAGGTTGGGGCTGGGTCACTCCACTTATCGCCAACTGTTCAGCCAATTCCTAAGACAAACAGGTTTGTTTACATTTATGGGAGATAATGCTGCCCGCTTCTTATTCACAATGTCACCTGAAAGTGAGAACAGGCGTTTGCATGGCACTTTTTTAGCCATTATTGAAAGTTATTCATGTGCCAGATATGGTAAACATTCATATGCCCCTTCATGCTTCGGCCACCATTCCAGAGGACATGATTCCATGCTGATGATGTTCGTTACAAAAATAATGCGTTAATTAGATTTGTGACTGCCCTCTTTGGGGGAGAATTGCATGTCTCCTGCCATATATTTAATGTTATAGCTGTCTCAGATGATGACCCAGTACATGTTGCTCATTCTAAGAACACTTTCACTGTAGATTTGACAAAACACAAAGAAGGTACCAATGTGAGATTTCTAAAGCTACAGCACTCCACCCAAGGTTTAAGAATCTGAAGTGCCTTCCAAAATCTGAGAGGGGCGAGGTGTGGAGTATGCTTTCAGAACTCTTAAAAAAGCAACTCTCCAATACAGAAACTACAGAACCTGAACCACCAAAAAAGAAAACCAACCTTCTGTCGGTGGCATCTAACTAAGATGACAAAAATAAACATGCATCAGTCCGCACTGCTTTGGATCATTGTCAAGCAGAACCCATCATCAGTGTGTTCTCTGGAATGGTGGTTGACGCATCAGGGGAAATATGAATCTTTAGCGCATCTGGCATATAAATATCTTGCAATGCCAACTACAACAGTGCCATGCGAACGCCTATTCTCACTTTAAGGTGACATTGTAAACAAGAAGTGGGCAGCATTATCTCCTGCAAATGTAAACAAACTTGTTTGTCCGAATGATTGGCTGAACAAGAAGTAGGACTGAGTGGACGTGTAGGCTCTAAAGTTTCACATTGTTTTATATTTGAATGCAGTTATTTTTTGTACATAATACATTTGTAAGTTCAACTTTCATGATAAAGAGATTGCACTACAGTAATTGTATTAGGTGAGTTGAAAAATATTTTCTTTTTTTTTACAGTGCAAATATTTGTAATCAAAATAAATATAAAGTGAGCACTGTACATTTTGTAATTGAAATCAATATATTTGAAAATATAGCAAACATCCAAAAATATTTAAATAAATGGTATTCTATTATTAACAGTGCGATTAATGGCAATTAATTTTTTTAATCACGTGATTAATTGCAATGATTTTTTTGTATTGCTTGACAGCCCTAGTAAAAAGCAATTTATAGCTTGCATGTGTTTCCAGATACCACATTCTTCATGAGTTCGCCAATAAAATCATGCAGTTTTACAGCTAATCAAAGCCACAAGACCAGACATTTGTATGGGGTTACACTGACTTTTGATTACTGGGGTTGGGAATGCTACTGCTCTGCTTTTGAAAGGGACAAACAAATTTGAGCTTTCTACAGTAATTCATCCAATCTACCCAAGCCAAAGAATCACACCTATTAATTTAATTCCTCAAAGTGCTGTAGTTCTTTGGCAACAGGGGCTGAAGGAAATATCAAACCCGGTGGTTGAAAACTGATCTTTTTTTAAATGATTTTTTAATTTAAATCAGTTTTTTCTTTAACTTGGATTTTTTAAATTTAAATTAAATATAGGTTTTTAAAAAATAAATAAACCAGTTTAAATTTAAGTTAAAATTATGACAAAGCCTAAATTTACTATAATCTATTAAAATCATTGAAATTTATATATAATATCCAAGCAGTATACGCTTGCTACAGAAGTTTCAAAGAAAGTCAGATGAATGACTAGTGGCAGAAACTGGCTTAGCACCTGGAACCAGAATTTTGACAGCAATAACCTCTACTGCAGGTGCAGAGCAAATATTTTCTTCATTTCAATGTACCCAACTAGCTCAGTTTAATGACTTATTCATTCAAAGTTGAGAAACCGGTTGGGAGTTGAAAAAGCAGGAAAGTTTGTCAGAAGCTGGGAATGGGCGACAGGGGATGGATCACTTGATGATTACCTGTTCTGTTCATTCCCTCTGGGGCACCTGGCCACTGTCGGAAGACAGGACACTGGGCTCGATCGACCTTTGGTCTGACCCAGTATGGCTGTTCTTATATTCTTAAAATTTGTTTTCCTCTTCCAACTTATCAATAAAAACAAAGTGTGGGAGGATGAAATATACCAGCTCTAAAATCCTGAAGGTTGTGGTGACCAGAAACAATCAGTTCAATTCACTAAATACAGATAATGGTTCCTTTGTTTAACAAATCAGCTGTAAATGCAAAATATGTTTCGATAAAGTATTTTTCTTTTCCCTGTTCTATTGTCTAGATCAAACTACAGTTCAGGTCACTTTCCTAGCACAACCAGGTTTTTACAGTATGTTCAATTAGTAATTCATTTTCTCTTTTACTGTATTTTATTCCAGAACATTGGGTCCAGTCCTGCTTTTAATAAGGTTAAAGGGAGATATGTAACAAAAAATCTTCTTGTGTTTAGAATACAGGGAGAAACAGTGCTGCAGACTCAGCCACCATCGCCACAGTGTCCTGGCCTGTCTGTTGTCACTAGTTTTCTACCTCTGACTGTGGGGCTGAGTTCTTTTGCTTCTGATACTTTCAAAGGAAAAAAGTCCAAGTTTATCCACAATCAATAGAAACAAAATTACATCCGTTTGAAATCGGTGGGAATTAAGTTCGTGCCTAACATTAGGCACGATTTGAAGTGTGTTGCTGAAATAGGGATGGACTTAATTACCGAATCTGGCCCAGAATCTTCAATGTGGTTAGACAATGAGGGCATGTCTCCACATTTAGCTAGGTATTGGCTTTCTGTGTCCATGTTAATTGATCCACAACAAGTATTGAGTGATCAGTTTGTACTCATTGCATTGTTATCTTGTGATCGAGTTTATGTTGCCTCCTGTCTTTGTAGCACAACGCTGTGGAAGGGTTGACAACAGGGGGTGCTACTGCCCCTGAAATGGATCTTTACTGGCTCCCAGTAGAGCAGATTACTGTCATACCAGTGAAAAAGGTCCACAGTAATTATCTTCAATACACAGCAGTTTATTGAGAAGGAATTACACAAGCGGTAAAGGGTTATATTAAGCACATAA